GTAGATCTTCTGCCTGCCCAACTCCGCCGCAACAGCATCCCACACATCAAGCCTCTTCGAGCTCTCGTTGAAAGACGGGTTATTCTTGAGAATCTGCTTCAGAACTGTGGTACCATTCTCCGGGCCCAGCGCATTCTGGAGTGTCGTCTTGAGGTCTACATCGCCACCCCGGTCGACGATATCGTCCACCATTTCGGTGGCAAAGGTCAGCCGGACGGAGTTGAAGCCCGTCTCAGCGATGCGCTTGACGATTTGGGCTACAGACTGATATTGTAGGCCCTCGGGCAGCATGGTCCGCTCGTGACCTGCCCAATTTACGCCAACGAGGGCGACTGTTGCGTTGCGGGCATCGACGATGTCGCGATCACGGACGGAGAGCGGGAGAGGTTGCAGCTCGCGGCGAGTGAGCTCGGTGGAGGTGGATAGCGGGATTGCCAAGGCTGCCAGCAGCGCCGATAGACTTGAGAGTCGGCGCATTGTTTGTGACTTGTTTGTGTTGTTATTCAGTTGTATTCTTCATGAGGGTATTTGGTTTTCCATTGAATAGAGCGTTGAAATTGTCTTGTTCTCGAGAGCCGCTTTTGGTATAGAAAATCTTGAAAGTGACAAAGGAACTTCTGAGACAAGAATGAAGTAATCCGGGGTACGAGCACAAGTGCGGGAAGACCATGACGACACAAAGAGAAAATAAGGTAGGAAGATCCTTGGCTCGGACTCTCTTCCCCTCCAATCCAGGAATGCCCAGAAACTACGACGTCGGCGGAGAACTTGTGCTTGGCTACCTTTGCTTGCACATGCAGCCGAAAAGTCGTCTGAAGTTTGATGGTTCCATGGCACCGAGGACGTATCAGCGTGACGACGGGCCGTGCTTGGAACGGATGTTTTTATGTTTAATCAGCCAAGGCACGCAGGAAACGAAACACACGATTGGACTGCGAACAGGTTTGAGAGCACAAGTCCACATTTGCGACGGAAAGTTGATGTGTACAGATTGTTTATTTGTTCATGTTCTGAAGGAATACTTACAGAAGGGGTTGGTTAAACTAGATACATGAAAGGGGATGCCACCAGGCTCATATTCTCATATGAAATACTATCTGAGAGTTCTATCCGAACGCCATTTATTTCATGTTCTGGAGCAGGTAGCGGACACCAGCGTAGGTCTCCTCGCTGGTAGGCACGATCTGGGCAGCAGGCAAGACGAAGCCGTAGTTGCCCGTGTCGCGAAGCTCCTGGGTGAAGGTGTAATCGGCCTTGACAACATCGTTGACGTAGTCGACACTGCTGCCGGTCGCCTTGTAGATGGTGGTGCAGATGGGACCGTACTGGTACGAGGTACCGTGGACAGCCTTAATGGCGGCGACGGCGCCCTTGGCAAGGGACTGGAGCTCGGTGTTCTTGGCGGAGACGGCGGTGCAGGAATAGCCGTAAGGGGTCATGAAGAGCTGGGAGTAAGCATGGAAGTCGATGAAGAGCTTGAGGCCCTGGGCGGACTTGGTCTTTGCGAGCCAGGCGGAGAGGGCGGCGGTCTCGGGGGCGTCACCCTGGGAGAGGCCCTTGAAGTCCTCGGCGCAGGGGTCGGTGGAGGCACCGCCAGTGACGGACCATTGGAAGGGCCAGTTGCGGTTGATGTCGTGGCCGATGCAGGTGCTGCCGGAGGTGCTCTGACGGTTCTTGCGCCAGAGGCGGTTGGTGGTTTGGGTGTAGATGAAGCCTTGAAGAAGACAGTTAGCGAGATGGTTCACTGACGTGACATCGTCGAAGGGGAATGAGGAACTTACCGTCAGGGTTGACGACGGGGAAGATGTAGAAGTCGTACTTGTCGACAAAGCTCTTGATCTCCGTGTCGGAGGAGTACTTGCTCAGGAGGTTCCAGGCAATGTACTCGTTGGCCATGGTGCTGATCCACTCTCTGGCGTGGACGGTGCTGTGGAAGACGACCGCGGGCTTGGTGCCCTTTGAGGTGCCGTAGATGTGGATGCCAGTGATGGCGTTGCCCTGGAGTGACGAGCCCGAGGTGACGATCTCGGCGTTGCTGGGGTATGAGGAGACCAAGTCCTTGAGGAACTGAAGGTGATCGGCGTACGCGTGGTACGAGTTGAACCAGGTCGCGTTGGCGGAGCCGACTAAGAGAGAAGTTAGTTGACGAACTTTGGCATATTGCGAGATTGCACCCATGTGGAATGGCCATATGGCATAGGTGGAGAGGCATCGAGCATTGGAAAGGTGCCAAAGACTTACCAGCGTAGACAGAGAAGCCAGACTCATCTGCGATTGAGGCGCCGAGATCCTCGTGCATGGTGGTGAGGTTCATACCGGCAACCTCAGCCTTGAACGATTCGACCTCGGTGGCTGGGACGACAATGTCGGCGAAGGCACCGGCTCTCGGGGCGCCCTTCCAGGTCGTCAGCTGGAGCTTGTCGACGACGCCATTGACCCTGTCGACCTCGTCTCCGACAGAGAGACGGAAGACCTTGGTGCCGTCGTAGCTCACGCGCTTGGAGCTCGCGCCGGCGACTGAGGCGGCGGACGCGGCGGCGACGAGGGTGGAGAGGGCGGCGAGGGACTTCATCGTTGCGGTGGTATGTTACTTTCAACGACGAGGAAGAGAACTCTAGAGGGAGAGAGGAGCTTGGCCGGGAGTGAGTGTATGGCGACCGCGCGTAGTGAGTTCAGCGAGGGTGCACGAGAGAAGGCATCGCCAAGATTGAGAATCGCACGGGTGCGCTCGCCTTTATGTACGGTGCTACGAGGTACGAGGAGAGTTGTGTCCAACAACTACTACCAGGGATTGAGGATAAGAGGGGAAAGCAGAAAAACACAGTTTCCAGGCCTGAGATGGACACTTTTCGACGGCAGGGCCAACGGGAAACAGGAACAGGATGAATGACGAGGATCGGACCGTCGGGGATCGCCTGGGCAGCTCTTACAACCTTCCCGTTTGGGCCATTGCGGCCCGCCTTGAGAGAAAAGTATCTTGGTATCTCAAGTTTGCCCTGTCTGCCCTGTCTGTGCCCTTTTCTCGTTTGACTTTGTTCGATTCGTTGACGCTGATAATATTGTTTACCTTCTCTAGCTGATGGACTGTTAGTCAAGAGACCTGCCTGATCAACGCAAGAACGAGATGCGGCAACAAGCTGCAGACAAAAGTCCCCGCCTGTAAGAGGGGGAGGGAACATGCAGGTGGTATCTTCAAAGTTGGAGGTGGTGCTACCCCAAGCTCGCTTCTCCGCGCTCAGGGGGGAAGGTAAACGGGAGTGAAGATCCACGGCTACCGACACGACTGGCTGGTAATTCTGCGTTTAATGGCGCACAGATCACAGGCTTGGGAGACGGGCGGAGTTGAGGAGAGGGGAGGGGAATGCGATTTGGGGGGATGGGGGCCTGGAGAAGGAAGGTTGGAAGCCTGGAGAGAAGCATTCGACTGTGGCTAGGCGTGTCATTCTTGGCCAGGGTTATCTTGCATCATCAGACGAGCACGCAACCCTTCAAATAGAAGGCGGCTGCTTACAATGGTAGGTTCTACACACTTCATAGAGACATTAGTTGACGGGAGGAGCGGCATGGCGAATCCGAATAGCAGACCACAAACTTTGGAGAAGCGCGCTTGATGGACCTTTTGCATCGTCTGGTCGGACTTGCAGACTTGATTAAGCAAGTCGAAGAAAAGTCTAGATAAATTGGGCTGGTAGGACTGGCGGTGGACCCCAATGCGACCCAAGCAAACAACACCGCAGTGCCTGGCTGTCAGTGGCCCCCGCGAGCTTCCTTAGAGTCTTGGAGTCTTGGACAGATCCAGGAGGTCAAGTGCCGGACTGCGGGCAACCGACCTGCCGGAACCGGGGTAGCGCGGCGGTAAGGATTCAAGGGGACTCTGGCGATCGGTTGGGGGTTGGGCAAAGCACGCAAAGCTGGGCTTTGAGGCCTGCTGGGTTGCATGAGCCCGTTTCCTGCAACAAGAGCTTGATTGAGATAGGCTACGGGCTAGTTGCGCCGTGTGTCTTGGATGAAGAATCGTCCGAGTTCTAGACCGGAAGGGGAGGTATGTAAGAATGTCTTCAGGTGCATCTCTTGGATTGGGGGAACGGCACAGCACGGCATTCTTCTCATCCTTATCAGCACATCATTTGGGTGCCGATTTAAGTTTAAAACGCTTATTTGGTGGATGGGGCGCTAATACGATCCCCCGCCTGCTTATCCCAGCGGCAATACGAGTTCGTCTGGAGCACTCCAGCATCATTCCAATCAATGACGGAGGTGTCCGCGAGTTGAATACAGTGAAGTACGGACATTATGGTATTGGATTGACAATAAACGACGTACTTGGCATCCTGAATGTTGAGTTTGACTCAAAGAGCGTAGAAATTACCCTGGCAAACCACGGCCGAATGTTGACGATAGCTGCACTAGCAGCGGTATTTCAGGCTTAAAAAAGCTTTGGGGAAATACTGCTTATCATTCATAAACAAAGGTACTCTTCTCATCAGTGACTGTCATGGCAATCGCGACTGGACAGCTTGAATGGCTTCGGTAGCCATTTCCTTCGTAAAAGAGTAAGCCTCAGTGCGAGAAGTTTTCTAAAAAGATATCATCCCGACGACGCTCTCTTCACGGCGTTACTGGACCCTTTGCCATCTCACCTTGCGCAAGCTATCCACAGTGACGGAAGATGCGCACTACGGTACATGTATTTAATCATAATCAACTACCTTCATATACGAATATTCATAATCCACTGATTCTAATACAACTAATGAGTACATAACAAGGCAAAGCAAGCTTGCAATGCGACCGACCGCTGATGAGGGTAGCACCAAAAAGACAAACCCCAGAATAGAGTTCCGAGTCAAAAACATTGGACGATCTGGGAATCGAACCCAGGACCTACCGCATGCTAAGCGGTCATTATACCACTAAACCAATCGCCCGTTGTTGAATTTCTGCAACATTGAGTTAGCCCTTGTAGGCCGCTCGCGCCGAAAATCATCCGAGGAATCCAGTGCCCTCCTCTACCCTCCTCTCTGTATCCTTCTCTTCCCTTCAAGCCCAAGGCCAAGCCTTTCTTACCCCCAGCCTCAGTCTCTGTGTTGTCCGACAATCACCTGGCTTGCACTTGGCTCGACGAAACGCCGCACAGAAATGTCCGTCCAAAGTCCTGTGCGCGATCCCCTCCACCCCGTGGCCACGGCAATCCCAGAGTCGATATTCGGGAACGGCTAGCCATTTGTCGCAGCCCACATGACGCTCGCAAAGCCATGCGCATCTGTCATCCCATCTTAGGTCATCGAAAGAATCACTCCAGACCACCTCCCTACCCTCATTATTGCTTCAACCTCTGTATCGTGACATCAAACTCCTCCGGATCCCGCCCGATAATCTCCTTCAACGTCTCTGAGACAACAGAAGTCTCCCCCGCCCGAATCGCCTCCCACGCCGTCGCCCACGTCCTCGCCTTCTCCACCGACCCGAACTTCGCCAAAACCTGCGGCAGCTTCACGTACTCATCCACGCTCACCTCGCGGATCCTCACGTCCCTCCCGACAGTCCGCCTAAGTACCCTCACCGTCTCCTCAAGAGACCAGACCCGCGGACCGGTAAGTAGGACCTTTTTATTGACGTGAGGGAATTGGTCCGGGTCCCAGGAATACTGCGCGATAAGTTTCGCTGTCGCCTCTCCCAACTCGCTGCGCTTCGCCCATGCCACGCCCGGGCCGGTGCCGTCGTGCGGGATGAGGATCTCATTCGAGGCGGAGGGAGAGTTGATGTCGAAGAAGGATGTGTAGATTGGGTACGATTCTGAGTAGAGACCCTCGCGGATGGATGTGTATGTGAAGCCAGGGTCCGAGGCCGCGACGGAGGCTAGGTGGCGCTCCGTCGAGAGGTGGGCCTGCATTACCTCCGCTACGGATTCATCTTGTAGGTCGGCGCCGAAGGCTAGGGAGCTGTAAAAAAGGTGTTTCACGCCTGCGCGACGAGCTGCATCGACGACTGGTAGTTGAACCTGCGAATGTGTGTTAGGCCACCCGTCTGGTGATGCGACAACTTCAACTTCAACACTTTGTTCCTCACCTTTTTGCGGTACTCGTGCACATGACTTGGGTAGGAAATGAGGAAGAGCACCTCGATGCCGGCAAACGCAGCCTCAAGATCGGAGGGGCTCGACTCGTATGACGCCTTGCGTGCGCGGAGGCCGTTCTTGATGTGTTCTTGGGGAACTCGTTCCGGATGACGGTTGATGAGGATGATGTGGTCGCTGGGAAGAAGTTTCAAGAGGTAATCGTAGGTGCTGCCACCTAGACCTCCCGAGCCAGGGAAGATGCCGATGCACTTCATTATGTGAGGTTCTTCGATAATAAGTGAGACGCTGTATCGGACGAAATGGAGGTGTACAATGGAGTAGAAGCTAGATAATGATCTCTTCAATCCAATCTATCGGTAATCTGCTCGAGATGGATCAAGAGTGCGTTAGTAGAGAGTTTAAGGGTTTAAGGTGCAGATAAGCTAAGGTCAGATCGTGACATGACGCGCATGATCACATCACCGCACACCTCGCACATTGATCACGACGCCCGGAGACTTTGCTTGGCAGGGGAGTGCCGAGCTTGACATGCTCATTACGTCACGCACACCCCTATTCTCAACAGTCGTATCAAGCATCTTCCCTTCGCTTCTATTTCTGTGGCACCTGGGTGACATCCCACGTTGAAAATCAGGCTCGCATCCCACTTTCCTTCCGTCATTACCCTTTTTTTTTTTTTTGTCAGAGTTCCGATTCCGGAGCGGAGAGCAACGTTCTTTCTCATTTGTCGCCCGTGGTCCGCCCCGTGTCCCGGCCCCCGCTACACGGCCGACGTGTCGGCTCAACAGCGCTTGCTGTGGGGTTGGTAGCGGAGATGTGTGCCACACTTGGCGGATGGGTCGTGAGTCTGGCGCAAGATGAAGGCTAAGTTGTGAGGCTTTCTAGCTTGGCCACTAGGAATAAGTCGAACACCCATCAAGATTCAAGAGGTCTTGACTGCGTGCGACAAAGTTCAGGGCTGACTGGTATGCGCACATTCTAGTAAATATGATGGCATCCCATCCCTTAGACTGCTGAATGACCTCGATACATCGGCACTATCGCCACTCAGAGCGTCAACAAGCAGCGTATTAATCCTCATCAGCCGCACCATTATTGTCCGATTTCCTCACGATGCACCCGATCGAAAAATTGGAAACAGAATGAGCCTTGGATAAAACTGAAGGTGTATTTACTGACGTTGTCTGTTGCCGACGGAATCGTGGTGGACTAGCGAGCAAGTGTTGAGGCGGGATGGTCTTCACAGTTCGCTGTCACACTGTCCAGCAAAATGGCTTCACGCATGAGAATTCACGAAAGGAGGACGGCAGAGTCTGACCCGGTCTGTCTATAAGGTAGACTGATCATCACGAAAACGACCTCCATTCCGTTCAAGCTTGCGAAAAGTAGATATATGTCAGCTTAAAATTTTGGTTTCCTAAGAGTCACGAAGGCCACTGCAACTATCAGACGAACTAGGTCCGCTTAACTAGAAAAAAAAGCCCATCTACATCAAGCTCTGCTTATTTCCAGTTGGTGGTAGCACCCATCTTGGACCCATCAGCAAGCACCAAAAAGTCGCTCGGCACAATCTTTCCATTCTTGCCGCGCGCGCCAGAAACGAGGCTGATATCGACGCTCTTGAAGCTCGCGTTCGTCAGCGCAGCCGCGCCCAAGACATCCCACGAGTTGCCGACGGACGTCTGGCGCTCCCGCAGCGTCGCCTGGCCAAAGTAGGTGGCGTTGGCGAGGGCCTCGGGGTTGTTGAGGGCGGCGACGTTGCGCTTGAGGACGCCCGTGGCGTTGACGCTGCGGAAGCCCGTCTTGCCGTTCATCCACGAGGTGTTGTCCTCGATGGCGAAGGCGCCCGTCTGGGAGTTGTCGGTGAAGCCGTTGGCCTTGTTGCCGAAGGCGATGCAGTTGATGACGTCGCGGGCGGCGGGGAGGATGTCGCCTGCGCTGCCGCCGCCTAGCTTGAAGCCGTTGCCGTTGCCGGTGAAGTCGGGGATGTCCTGGGGTGGTTTGTTAGAACGGTGTAGTGAGGATCGGCTTTGAGCTTGACGTTGACTTACCCAGCGGTTGAAGCCGTTGCCCCACGCGATGCTGTCCTTGATGGTCAACTTGGAGTGGAACTCCCTGCGATACTGTCAGCTCATGCATCATAAAGATATCAACGCACATCGAAGGGCTTACCAGAAATCGACACCATCGTCAGAGTTATCCCAGAATCTGCTTCCAACAACAATATTGCCCTCGCCCTTGCCCTCCTTGATAGCAAGACCATCGGCGTTCTCGCCATTGTTTCTCGGATCACGGTTACCATACGAATCAAGGTACGAGATAACGTTGTTAGACAGGGCACCCTGCATGTGGAAACCGCTCTCGTAGTTCTCGCGGGTAACAATCTGGTTGAAACGCAAGTTGCTCGAATCCTTCACGTACACGCCGTACGCGCCGTGCGTAAAGGTAAGACGAGCAAAGTTCCAGTACTGCACGCGCTCGACGTGGAGCACACCACGGTTCCGGCCCGGCACGGAAGCGCCGACGGGGGCAGGGGTATCCGGCAGACCCTCGCCGTCGATGATGACCTCCTCGTCCTTGGCGGCGTGCAGGGTGATGGGAGCGGCGGCGGTGCCGTTGACGGTGATGTTGATGTTCTTGAGGAGGTCGTAGGTGCCGCCGCGGAGGATGATGACGTCGCCCGGCTGGGAGATATTGACGGCGGCTTGGATGTCGGAGAAGGGCTTGGCTTGGGAGCCGTCCGGGGCCGCTACGCCCTTGGGGGAAACGAAGATGTTGGCCGCCTGGGCCAGGGAGAGGCAGGAGAGTATTGTTGGGATGACCAACATTGTGAAAAAAGAATGTGTTTTTTTATGTACTTTGAAAAAGAGTGTAAAAGTTGGGTTTGCGAATCACACAAAAGAATGTGGGTGAGAGAGAACGGTATAATCAACTACTTCTATCATATCGCGGGCAGAGAGAGAGCATGGCGCTGGTGATGATTTATAGAATGCAGTGTGGGCATGGCTTCATTGTCGCAATCGGCTCCGGTTCAGGCAGATTATGATACCACGGAGATGGATCCATCTTGGCACTTTGGGTCAGCAGGAACAACACATTAAGAAAGTCTTGGTACTCTTTAAGAAACTTTTTTGCAACTTTCGCTCAGTCTGCTCACATAGCGTGGATTCAGGAGTCGTTGACTCGCAGAATAGGGACGGCACCTGAAAATTTCCTGCCCACGAAGTGGCCTAGCTTGTTTTGGTGGTGCTGGAGCTCAATTAACTATAATGATGGGTCACCCCTACCCAAGGTATAAAATTGGTGCGAGATGGCGCTATTACGCCAAGATGGGCCACGCACCAGCAGAACATTTGCATTCTTTTGGTGTGGTCGAGGAATAGGCAGTGGTCCCGGACTCCCGGTGGGAGTTCGTCAGCCCCAATAGACTCCGCCTCCGCTATCGCGAAATTATTTTGAGTTCATGACGGGGTCAAAGGCTGATTCAAGAGTCTAGATCTGGGCCCATATACTATGGCTGGGAAAGCGATTATGTCCGGCGGTGGTAAGGGGGTGTCTTCGAATTACCTGACGTTCTTCAAGCTTCATGTTACTGGCGCGGCGTCACTACTGCATCAACCAGCCTGCGGATAACACGCAACTACCTAAGTCCGGGGCCATGACACTCGAAGTACACTCAGAAGTGAGGCTCAGCCAACGCATTTATCGAATTGCGGAGGATGTTTCTAGAATAGTGATCTCTCCGACTCCAAAAGCGACGAAAACGACGGACAGTTGCTGCAATATATTCTAAACAGCCCTAAGTTTAAGCTTTCTGTCGCTGGGTAAGGCCCATTGGCATCCATGCTTGGCTCATGACTCGGATGAACCTCACCCGCCCACCGACCCGGGAGATTGGATGCTTGGTATGGAGTAGTCCAAGTACTCTGTTACTGAGTAGTCAGCGGCATTGTCGGTGGTTCTCGCAGCAGGATGAGTTACCATGGCTTCGGGTCCGACTATCCCGCCTCATAGTCCAGCTTCGGTCCGAGCCTCCTTAATTCTTTGCAACTGGCATCTCACACATCTTACAACTGATTTTCGGAGCTTGCAAACTAGATACCTATAAGACAAAGTGGACACATTGAGTCTGAAAGCGGGAGAGTGATTCGCTGGGTCAATGTATCGAGCTTATGTACCTTTGTCTCGGAAACTTTCCTAATACTCCAGACAAGTCAATCATAAGTCATAGTTCCCAATTTTTTTCGATCATACCACAGACTGCCAGCTGACCCTTTTCCCCAGGCAAAGCTCTCGGTTTTCTAAGTTTGTCCAATGAGAAGCTCGGACTCGGAACAGTAGGTACTTGGTAACTATCTCTTAAGACTGATAAAATGTCCTAAGCAGAGCCAGATGACGCCTGCGAAATCATTTTCAGTGTGATCAAGAGAAGCAAATCTGATTACAAGGGCTTATGTGTATGTTGTATTTCATTTGCAAAAGTCATTGTCAACACAGTTGCATCTCGGCGGTTCTTGATGGCAATGATGTCTCAATTCTCCCCCCACACACGAGCGAGCACAGCCCACATTATAGCTCGTACTCTCTAGCACTGCTATCGATATAGATGGATGGACTTATCGATACTGTGCAGTTTACCAAAGTGGACTCTTCCAAACACTTGTCCATCTCAGAAACCACACAAGGGTGTGATGAATGTGATGGCCTTAGTCGTGGTGTCGCCACCACCAACAGCGACAATATCCGGCGAAAACTTTACCAAGATAGCATCTTTAGAAATTACCAAAGAAGGGCAGTTTACGTTCAATAGCACTAGTTCCTGTTAGGCCGTGGAAGTCCGGATGTGTGTATTCAGCATGGCGTATACGTGTGCTGCAGAGTAATGAAGTGCGGTAGATATTACATTTTGCATGAGACTACCTATGATTATGAACACTGATTCATGATAGATTGACATTATATCTGTGGTATTCCATAGCCATTTACAGTTTGTCTGTAACCCTCGGCGTTACCTTGGCCATGGAAGAGCTGTACTGTCCTGTCTCTTTATTCAGACTTCTAGACAAGGACCACTAATGAAAGGATTTTATACCTTGCCTAGGATAAGCTTTGTGAAGGAAATGTTAAGCAAGGTTCTACTGTTGAAGCCATCACCGGGTGTTCCTTCCATCTTCTGCCCGAGACCATGTCTCGATGTACCCTTGTATCTACGTACACCCGCCTTGGGATTTCCACAATGCATTGGAAGGTAGGAGCCTGAACTATCGCACCCAGAACTTTCCGTGGCTACAGGTTCTTAACAAGGTGAAGGAACGAAGGTCTTCCTGAAGATGGAACAATCCCGCCTGGTCCTTCACAATCCCACCAACACTTCCAACTACCCAACCCCATCATCTTCTTCAACTTCTCTATTAATCATCAAGCTATCAGTGACGATCATTGCTAAATCTACCAGCCACTGCACCGCGACCTCGACTGAAACCCCTGACCCAGTACTACAGATAGCAATCAGGACGAGCCAAAATGGGCAACGACGCTACGGTCAACGAGATTCAGGAAGTCTGGTATTTCTTGGCGAGCGTCGGCGGAGCGATGCTCCTCGTTCTTCTCGTCCAAGACATCTCCAAGTGGTGCAGACATAACCTATTGGAGCGCCGTATTGGTATGTACCCTCTGAATACTGCCAAATGCTCATTCCGTCATTGAGGCGTTGCTGATCAGCTGAAATAACAGGGAGAGCCTGTGTGAAAGCCCTCGTCGCCTATCAAGTCTTCCTAGAAGTAGAAGCGATTCTCCGCGAAGAAATTCTACGCGAGTGTCGCGAGTTCGAAAAAGCTAAGACGAACGCTTGGAACCTTTTTATGCACAAGGGCGAACGGATCGATCGAGAGGAAAAGGCGATTGAGAAGGGTAAAGAGGAGGTGAGGCAGATGAGGGCCGACCTAGAGAAAAAAAAGGCGAGATGGAGAATATGAAGGCCGATGTTGAGAAGGGTTTGGAGGAGCTCCGGAAGCTACGTGCTAAGATCATCGGGAAGGCAGACGAGGATTCCGGCCCTAGCAATAGGGGTGAAGACATTGAAGACATAGCAAGGATCGTGAAATGGATCAGTAGATGATGCTCTACAGGAACTTGTGATAATCCTTCCACCTTCAGGGCGGAAAGAGGGCATTGAGCATAGGAAAGCGTCAAGAAACAGCGATCATAGAATCAATCAGCACAGAAGCAATAACATGACATACACATGCCCACTCTTTCTTGCTACGATCAAAAGAGCCTGGCACTGGTTTCACGAGTCCTTGAGATACCCAGGCCGTGTTTGCTCAATCTTACACACATGAACCATTTATCGTCTTCCAATGGGGAATAGAAGGAAAATTTGACCCTAAGGGGCCATGATACAGCTCATCCATATTTTCTAGAGACGCCAAAGTACTCAAATAATTGCTCTCGATGCGAGAATCGACCTGTCTTCACCGTCTCCTCGAGACAATTTCTGATACTTTCCTGGATTTCTACAACATTGTACTAGGCTCGTTCAGAAAATGCCGTAGAATGGATCATAAGACGAATGCTCTTGAAGAAAGTTTCTCTATCATAGGCAGAAGTATCCTCTACCGAAGCGACTCCTGAAGCCCACTTCCCTTTATTATTGTCAATCGTTGCTTGTCTGCCTGTTGTTCTATACACCCAACCCCTGAAAGAGCTCTACTTTCCCCGTATTGAGACTCAACGGACGAGCGTGAGGCCTTGTGCTGTCTTCCGGAGGCTTCCACAGCAATAATAGGCTCATCACTCAGTAGCACCCGCCTTTTGGGAAACAGGGAATCACATGTTCCCGCTGCCATCAAACCCTACCTATCCCACGATCTTTCAGGAAGGAAGCAAAAAAGAAGGGTCACTCGAGCTGTCAACATCGCTTTTCTGCTGGATCTGCTTTCCTCCAACACACACCACACTCTTGCTTCCAGTCAGAAACACCATCATCACATCAAACGCTACGGAAGTCCGAATTACCGAAACAACTTCAACACCAACTGCAAGACCTGTCACTTACAATGGAGTATCACGTCTTCAAGCAGGTCATCCAGACGGTCTTGATCGCCATCTTGATCCCCTTTGGCGCCATGATCATCCTCGAGATCATCCCGACCATAATCGGCAATAAGGCTGCTCGTCAGGCTGGTATGTCATCTTTCTGACTTCTCAATATTCTACCCAAACAATGTCACTAAATCAATCGAAATTTAGCAAAGAAGATTCAGGAGCTGAAGGAGAGAAACGCCGACTTGATTACTGAGGTCGAGGAGTCCAAGCAGAAAATCGTCAAGCTCTTGGGAGAGCGCGAGGCCGACAATCGCAAGATCGCTGAGCTCACGAAGAAGCATGAGGCCGGCAAGCACAAGATCGCTGAGCTCACGAAGAAGCATGAGGCTGACAAGCACAAGATCGCTGAGCTCACGAAGGAGCTTGAAGCCGACAAGCACAAGATCGCTGAGCTCACGAAGGAGCTTGAGGCCGGCAAGCACAAGATCGCTGAACTCACGAAGGAGCTTGAGGCCGGCAAGCACAAGATCGCTGAACTCACGAAGGAGCTTGAGGCCGGCAGGCACAAGATCGCTGAACTCACGAAGGAGCTTGAAGAATCCGACCAGGAGTCACAGCTACTGACTGACGCGCTTTATGTGGAGACCGAGAACGCCGAGAAGTATCAGCTGAAGATCGTCGACCAGGAGAACGAGCTGGACGCCGCCCGCAACTTCGCTGCCACCACCCTCAACACAGCCTTTCAAAACAACCAGGAGGCGCGCGAGATAACTGTCGATACGCTGAAGGACTTGTCCGAGGGAATTACCGTGTTCCGGAAGATCGCTGAGATCAGCAACAACTCGATGAAGCAACACCTGGAGCAGGTCCGCAAGTTCTGCAACATCGGCTTGCACAATTGGAGCGGGGAGATCAAGCTTATTCAAGAGTGTATCAGGCTCGATTTTGGCCGTATCAAGCTTCTCGACGAGGCGACTGCCAAGGGGCACAACTTGCAAGCCACCCTGGATGAGATTGACGAGGCCGCGAAGAAGCAGAGTCCCTATTTCAATGCCCCTTCTCCTTCCTGTTCCTGTTCTGCTTAGATGTTCGGATTGCGTTGGCAGATACATCATACGAGAGGTGGACTTCCTGGGTACTGATACTTGGAGGACCGGCCGTATCGTGGGATATGCCGATGCAGAGCAGCATGGGGTGAAGGAGGATTGACGCTAGGCCAGCATATGGGGGCACCTGCGTCATCTCGCGTTCGCAAGCTCTTACTTGGCTCTGTTGAGATGAGCCTTTATCATAGGCTTCGGAAGGAAGGTCGAGAGGTGATTTGGCACGACCCCTGAAGTTTGCTCTCACATGGATGTTGACGGCTACTTAAGGCATCAAAACGGGTACTTGAGCTCTTCCAAGAATTGACATACGCATTCGAGATACTCAGAGAACCATTCTGCGTAAATGCGAATTGTCTCCTTGGCAATACGAGTATCTCCCTCGTCAGAACCCACCCCACACACCGAAGGATGATGTCTTTCTTAAGTTTGCTTCCTACACGAGCCAGAGCAACGTGAGCACGACACTGGCCCCTTTTTACTGATACTCCAAGTCATCGATCCGCGTCCGCTTGAATTTGGGCACGTCATAGGCCTGGAGCTCGACGTGTGTTCAATAGACAGCAAATGGTCGAGCTAAGCTTGAGCCATTTGGCAGCTGGAAAGCCAAAGTCCAGCAGCGACGACTGGAGCCAGAACATGCATGTAAATGCGGATAATTTCGCGCCAGAATCGATGGTGATTGCGTCCAGTTGATGCGCGATAGACTGAATTTCACCGTCGTGAATCTGGTGTATGTTTCTCTCGATGTTCATACCGGAACCTACTTGCCCCTGAGACGTGTCTCTAACAAAGCAGCCTGTTTGTAAGTACCTAACTCATCATGCCTGCTTAAGGTGAGGTGTTTCCATGGACAGAACGCAGCTCCCGCTGGCCATGAGACCTCGGATTTCAGCGTTAGAGTCACGTGTGTGGCTAGGCATTAAGGCGCAGAGTTAAATGTCAAGTCACATAACAGGCTTTCAGTTGGGCTCTCCGTTTCGATTAGCCGTGTCCATCTGAACTTCTATTTGCGTGGCTTCAATTGTCTTACCCGCAAGAGAGTCGCGTGCTTCAAAGTCAACTTTCTTTGTCAGCTTTGGATATCGAGATGCTTCGATTTTGACAAAATATTGTTGCGCCAGAGAGCTTTCTTTTGCTGGTCAGCCACGAAGTACGAGTCAGTCATCCCACTGGCAAGACCCATGAGCATGAAGTAATTGAGGTAAGCAGCGATCGTTGGCGCTAATGTCCTTTTCTTGGCGCTAGCACCATTTCGTGATCGAAGCCCGACAGCATCCCCCCCTGAAGGCTCGATTCGGAATTTCAGCTGACAAGCCACTTTGCCTGGAATAGCAGGTCGAACCAAAATGAAAGGCTCATCGCTTCGAGTACGAGCTGATCAACGAGTTTCGAATCAAATGAGATGAGCAGGACTGACCGCCCAATTGGCGTGAGATCAAATACCTTGAGCTTCAAATGAGCCCAACGCCCTGTCGTGGCCCTTGAAGCTGAATTCCAGCGCTGTCACAGTGTCGATTCGGATGCGACAGCTAGTTTTGGCGGAGACCACATCATCTATCAATCACCAACCATTGAGCCGTTCGAAGAGGTGTAGGGAAGATAACGATCAAGGCAAGTATGAAACCCAAAGACTCAGAACGCTGTCACGGATGTACGGCATATAAATGCGAGGTTAATGGCCGGCTGATATATCTGACATGCCATTTCATCATTGATCTAAGAAGAGACGAAAGAAAAAAAGGGGTTCGAAGCCTTTCGGAATGCGGGGGGGTTGATTCGTGGCCTGGACCCTGTGGGCTTTGGACGTGGGCCCATGCTTTATCCAAGACGCGTGTTCGTCCCGGTAGCTTGGGGTCCAGGGGCGTCCCTGGACTTGTCCCCTCCAAGCCCTCCACGCTGGAAAGCCCAGCCCTAGAGGGATTCGCAATGAGACGACGAGTCGAGTTCCAATGGCTGAGACCTGCTGGCGTGGCCCTGTGTGCCCTGCCCACCCGCCGTTGGTCCTAACGGCAAAGGGGATGGGCTATGCTTGTTGGTTTGACCGGCCGCTGGCATCATTTTGCGGCTTTGCCTGTGACTGGCGGACGGGACGCAGATATCTCTGATCTCGGAACACGCGAGCCGGGGTGAAAGCTGCGCAAGTGTCGCCAGTCAGATAGATTAAGCTGAGTCTGGGTTGACGCGGGAGTAAGGAATATCGGCATAATAAGCTTTGGGCTAGCACCGGTCCCAACACCCCAAAAATGGAAGCACAGCTTGAAGGTCTTGGCTGTTTAAAAGGCCGCGGGCCCAGGCAGTCAAGACGCGGGGAGAAGACTCAGCTTCTGAATTCTATCGCGAGCTCTTTTGCTGCAAAAAAGAATCGACAACTGCTAATACGACTTTGAGAGAGAGAAGAAGAATAAGAAGGGAATGTGAAAGGGTGTCAAGGATGGTTCGTCTCCTAGTATCACCGCGATACGGCGGTCAGTCGACGCCAATCATCGCCGGCGCGGCCTTCGTCACCCTCTGCGTCGTCTACCTCCTCCGATTCCACGGCGCGATCACACCCTTCACATCAGCCAACTTCAGCTTCCGCACCTCAAAAACGTCCGGTCTCAACCTCGACGCCATCAACGCGACGGCACAATATTTCGTCGACTACCCCCTCGGCCCGCCGTACAAGAAAGTCTTTGGAGAGCTGGGTGAGCGCACAAAGGTGCTGCGCTCGTGGATCGAGGCGCTCGAGGAGAAGGAGGGCGGCCGCACCGACGGCCTGCGGGTTGTGGGGGCCGAGAGACAGTTTCTCGACGCGCAGGTCGAGCGAGTCGCCGCATCCCTGTTCCCTTATTTGCAATCTCCGCCGAGGGACATCCACAGCCAGACGCCTCTGGCCGATCTCAGGCGAAGGTTTATGGGGGGCGCTGCCGCTGATCGTGCGCCCCCGCGGGCCCCGGCACAGCAATTGGGCGTAGGCGGCACCGGCGCCGCCGGGTCCGGCAAAGAGAAGCCGGAGTACGTGCCGAGGAATGCCGGTATCGTCATTCCGACGGGACACGGCACACTGCGATTTGCGTGCCATTTGGTTGCGTCCTTGACGCGCGTTTTGCAGACTACGCTGCCCATTCAGATTGTTTACGCCGGCGAGGAAGACTTATCGGAGGAGGATCGCGACACGCTTGTGCAAGCTGCCGAGGGCGATGGCGGACGCATTGAATTTTTGGACATTTTGACCGTCTTCAACGACACGACACTGAAGTTGACCGAGGGAGGATGGGCAATTAAGCCGTTTGCGGCGCTCGGCAGCCGATTCGAGGAAGTTATACTCCTGGATGCGGATGTCGTCTTCCTGCAGAAACCCGAGCAGCTCTTCCAACAGCGCAATTACCAAGAAAAGGGCGCGCTTCTCTTCCACGACCGACTGCTCTGGAAAGATCAGTTCCCCGAGAGACACGAATGGTTCCACGAGATGATCAAGCACCCGAGCGAGGAGCTGCAAAAGTCTCTTGTTTGGACGGAGAAGTACGCCGAGGAGGGCGACTCTGGTATCGTGGTGCTCAACAAGGGCCGGCTGAATGTACTCATGGGCCTACTGCACACGGCGTGGCAGAACACGCACGCCGTGCGCAACTCGTGGACATACAGGATCACATACGGCGATAAGGAGACGTACTGGATCGGCCTCGAGGCTACGGGCTCGACGTACAGCTTCTCGCGACACTATGGCGGTATGGTCGGCTGGCGGAAGCCGTTTAGCGGAGTGCAGACCGAGATGACGCAGGTGTGCAGCTTCGTGATTGCGCACGTGGACGAGGTGGATAACTTGTTGTGGTATAACGGTGGGCTGTTGAAGAACAAGATGGACGATCCGAACGAGTTTGCCGTGCCGACACACTGGATGATTGACCAACAATGGGTCAAGGGGGCGAGGAAGAAGGATATGAGTTGCATGGTTGGCATGAACGCGAGAGAGCTCAGCGGACCAGAGACCAGCGTCTTGAAGAGGAGCATTGAGGCAGCGAAGGATGTTGATGATAGACTTGAATTGGTATAGAAAAATCAAAGATTCCCCCTTTTTATTGTTCAAAAGCACATTTAACATTAATCTTCATGCGTGAATGCGACCATCTGAACATACTTTCTCAGAAATCCGGTCTCATCAATCATTAATAGTCATGACTACTGCTCCTCTCACATCCCTCATTCCTGGTAACTACCGCTACTACTCGCTGACAAAGGACATCAAGAGTCGAGCCACATATCGCTCGTCATCATAGCGAACACTTATCGGCATAGCGCAGCCCATGTCCAAACCTAAAGACAGGATCAACCGTATCATAGGGCACATCCTCCATCGCATCCTCCACAGCCTGCTGTGATCGTGGGAGATCGAAAGGCAACTTGCCGTCAGGCTTGCTCAACCCGAAGATCACATCCAAGAAAGCTTCGCTGCCACTCCCGTAGCTGCCCAACACCGCAGAAGCGGCGTCAAACACCTCGGGTATCGCAGCAGGACGGTCTAGGATCACGTCGACGACGGTGGGCACGGCCGCATAGATCGCGGCCTGGCGCGCCTTCTCCTCGTCCGAGTACTCGAGCGAGCCGGCGTGATACGCTGCTTCGAAGCCGCCTGGACGAGGCTCATACGGGGCATCAAGGCGGAGCAGAGCATAGTCCGCCTCTTCCGGTGTCTTGACGACCGTCAAGTTGCGTGCCTCGAGGAACGTGGTGTTGAAACCCTCGATATAGAACTTAGTTTCTGTGCTGATGTGTTTCAAAGGGAGGAGTTCATCCTTGTTGGTAAGAAGGGTGTAGGCTCTGCGCTGGGCATCGTTGCCCAGCCGAAGGAAGTAGTCGTTGCCAACAACTCTCGTTGCGGCCTCGGGATCAACGAAGGGGTTGTCGAAGAGCCCGAGGAGAAACTTTTCGCGAAGGAGACGTCTGACGGAGACGTCAAGGCGGTCTTCGGACACGATGCCTTCGTCTACCAGCTGGATAAT